ACTTCTGCAGTAACTTACGATGATTTACTCCGCGTAAACGAGTGAATTATCGTAAGTTACTACAGAAGTAACGCTCGCGTAAACGTAGTATTAGTAATATATGTATCGTAATATAAGTTCTATTTGCGATTTGATAATGTAATTTAGTTTCGAAATTAGTACATAATATTATCCATAGAGGGTTACGACATGAGCTTTTAATTAGTTTTCACGTTATGTTTCTATTCTTTTCATCACTAACATGACTTGGAAACTTGGACCTCAAAAGTGAACGCGATTGTGAGTTGTATTGATATTGAAGATGTTGAGCTGATACAGTGCGGGATGAAAGCAAAATATTCGAGGCGAGATCATTTCATCTTCAAGCATCAAGCAATAGAATTATCCTGAATTATCCTGATATGGCTTATTATGTGTTCGGTGGTATGCGCGTGTGTTGCATGTGTTAGAAATTTGACACGGAGGAGTACTACACAACAAACGACGTCGACCTGCTTGTGAACACATTTACAACCACCTTGGCCTTCCTCAAAATCAACTGGAAGCAAATGCTCGGCAGACCAACTGTAACCCTTGTCGCTACTCATAATCATTTAGGTACGGTTTCGTCGGAAGCTTTAGATCTCATCCTACAACAAAAAGCTCGTCGGAGATTACATAGGATTGTATAGCATAGTGCTAGCGTGAAATTAATTGTTAGAAACCATGTACAGGGTATCATAAAATTCAGATATAAAAATTCTGCTATAGTAGCAAAATTTATGGAGAAATAAGTAACGAGAACAATTCTTCTTATTTCAAGCAATAGTTTTTTAAATACAAGTTTGAAACTTGAGTGAATCATGAATTGCCATTGAAGTGTTATTTGTCTGTGTATTAATGTTAATCTTTTGTCTTGCATCAATATTATGCGAAATAATCTTTAATTACATTTAGTAATTATATGATTAATCAAATTTTAAATCTTTATTTAAACATTGTTCTGAAATAAAATATCGCATGCACTTTTATTGTCCAGTTTCTTGTGATTTTTTACTATAATTTCTGTGCATGAATTTTGTGATATCTTGTATAGAGAAGTTATCGTTTTCAGTGTAAAAAGGCACTTTATTTCTTACTTATTTTTTTTATCAAAATTAATTAATGATTTTTTTTTAGATCAAGGTAAGATACCGTTAGCTATGATAACCACCCTGAAAAAACTTAAAAGCGGCTATATCAACGGTACTAGAGTGTCATTGGGAAATTTGAACGATTTTCTGAGCACGTCGTGTATCACGAATCTTAGTTTCCTGGGAAGTTCCGAAGATGGCCGTCCTGACAAACTAAATCCTCAGGTATATAAAATTCAAATGTCATATCTGTTCAAAATAAAGTTGCAACGTGTAATATACATTAACAGAATTATTTGCAAAATAACTAAACATGTACTGTCTTGTAAATTTTTTTAAATGCTATATCTCTTTTTTAATGTTATTTTCTTGTGCATAGCATAAATTCAATTAAACATAAAATCTTTATTTACATATTTAATTGATACACGTTACTCTCATTTTTTATGTTCACAAGATCCAACAATATTTAGAGGAACATTTAATGCGGCCATTTCCTCATCGTGCAGGACTGCTCAATAAGCCTGGTCCAATACGTGGAGCGAAAAATCTGCGGCGCAGAATGTCCGTGAAAGGCGCGATAAAAAAGACCCGATCCATAGCTGTCGAACGTAAGCAACATTTGTTCCCGTTAAAAAAATCCCAGATGGAATGGTTTTCATATTCTAACTGTGTGCCGATTGTATGTCTTTTAAAGAGGATTCTTAAACAATAATGCAATGTCTTCCTACTGCTGTGATTGTTACCATCTCCCAAGAATGTAAGTGTATTAACTGGATACTCTATTGTTTAATTTCCATCTAATTTTTAATAAGCGCAAAGATAATTTTATAATATTTATTTATGATAAAAAAATCTTTATGTGATTTGTCGTTATTGTCCATACCTCTGTCTGATTATCAGATATACCTATTATGTGTATACACTTATTACATCATATGTGATACAATTTGTTAATACATATTTACATATGGATTTATTTATACAATATTTTAATACGATAAGTAATAATATCATTAAGTTTATACAAATTAAAAATTTCTTTTATTTAACCATTTCAGCTGAAATTCTTGGAATGGCAGGGGAAGACCGTAGACATTCTTCTGTTTTAATTGTAAATCCATTTATTGAAGTGACGGATACTACATTGTCTCTCAATGCCACTCAACCAGTGACGATTGAACGCACACCATCGCCAACAGATGAGCTGTTATCGTGGAAAAATTCCCCCAAAACGAAACATAGAGCAATATCTGAGGGTCAGTATGCCGAGACTGAAGTGGAGGAATTGCTATCTATGCTGCGTGAAACGGAAAGCCTTGAAGAACAAGGAGATATTTTGCAGTATATTGTTAGTATATTTATCTCTTCATTTTAATTTTAATTTTAATTTGTAATAAAGATTATTTTAAATGCATGTAAATAACGCATAGGTGGACTCGAAAGGACTACTCTTTGATACGGGCGTACTGGAAGAGGGACACCCCGTTTTGGTGAAGGATTTGTTAAAAAGTCTTTATGAGAAGGCTTGTCAACAGAAAATGTGGGGTATCGTGCGACACAGCGCGGGTATGTTGGGTAAAAGAGTGGAGGATTTAGCGAAAGCGGTTACCGACCTACTAGTACGACAAAAGCAAGTTACTGTTGGCATGCCACCGAGCAACGAGCACACGATAGTCGCGCCTTTACCGGAGAACGAACTGCGAGCTCTGATTCATCAGGCGTACGGTGACGACGAGTCGACGGCTATGTTGACACAGGAATTGCTTGTTTATCTGGCAATGTTTATTAGAACAGAGCCACAACTATTCATGGAGATGTTGAGATTACGCGTCGGTTTGATTATACAAGTTATGGCGACAGAATTGTCGCGAACGTTAATCTGCACCGGTGAAGAGGCTTCTGAGCACTTGCTAAATCTGTCCCCTTTCGAGATGAAAAATTTGCTGCATCACATTATGAGCGGAAAAGAATTTGCTATTAGTAGTGGTACGTTTCTGTGGTTAATTAAAAATTTAAGAAAGTATGCATTAAAATATTTATATAATGATCATATGTGCTTATAACGCAGTTGGTCGTGGCAACTTTTCCGTCATTAGCTGCAAATCAAGTAGAGTCAGCAAGGTAATATTGTCACTATACATACAATATAAAGCTATATTTGATTTGGATCTCAACCACTCTACTAACATATTTTAATTTATAACATGCAGAAGTACATTTAAATCTTTTATTTTTCTGAGTTAATTTTACTATTACATATATGATACAGTTATTTTGGCAGTTTTGTTTATTATATGATGTGGGCTTTTTGATATTTCTTTTAACATTTAATGAACATAATTAATTCATGTTTTTATACTATCTATAAGTTGAACGAATATATATAGAATTGAATACCATTCTTTTATGTAGAAATCTCAAATCGGTGGTTTCTTAAGCGCTGAGCCGAATGATACTGGTGAGGCAGAAACAGATCGTCAAGGTCAGTGGTTGCGAAGGCGACGATTAGATGGTGCATTAAACAGAGTGCCGAGAGATTTCTATCCGCGTGTGTGGCAAGTACTTGAAAAGGTGAGTTTGTAAATATTATCATTATTATTATCTAATAAAATAATATGTAAATGTAATACCTAAGCTTTTTCCAACATTGTAATTCCATAAACATTTAATTAATGTTCAACAGTGCCATGGTTTAGCGATTGAAGGAAGAGTATTGCCTCAAAATCTCACGCAGGAAATGACATCTGGCGAGTTGAAATTTGCATTAGCTGTAGAAACCGTTTTAAATACAATACCACAGCCGGAATATCGTCAACTTGTCGTCGAGGCTTTAATGGTACTAACATTAGTGACTGAATACAACATTGTGCCATCTTTAGGTGGTCTGATCGAGGTTGAACATTTGGTACATAAAGCAAACGCTATTTTCTTGGAAGATCAGGTATTCTTCTGTTTTATATTTGTAATATTAACAAAAATGCAGTGTTATTATATTATCTAATTATTAAAATTCCCTAGAAGAAAAACGTATAATAGAAAATAATAGAAAAAAGTAGTTTACTATCTTATTCTTTCAAGTAATTTAAGCACTTATCGATACAGAAATTTAAAACAATATTTGTCATTTTATTGAAATTGAAATTGACTTTATCGATTTATTTTATCTAAAACGAATCCTTTTCTATGTTGAAAATAAATCACATTTTCTATGTTAGAAAACACATAATAGTTCTAATGTAAAATGCATGTAGATAACATAAAAAAATCATTTTAAAAAGTAAACTTTTTTCTCATCTTTAAAAAGTAAAAGATAATCATGAAATTTGTAGATGGCTATTGACGGTGACGCGACATTATGCTGTGCTAAGCCAAAGGAGCAACGTGAGATGACAGCTATGGGAACGCTTCTCTGTGGTGGGGCAGCATACATTTGTCAACATTTTTATGACACTGCTCCTAGTGGAAGTTACGGAACAATGACATACATTACGAGAGCTGTTTCCGTGACGCTTGATTGTCTACCAAAGAATGGTGACTTGGAATGTTCAATATCATAATAAATATAATTTTAGAAATAAATGAACTTTAATTGTGGGAAAAAGATGAACAAAATAAATATTTTAAACAAATTTGTATTGTGATTTTTTTATATAATATAATCTCCATATATAATGAAATTTTGTAACTGGATTTTAGTTTTAATTGAAAAATAATCCTAATATAACGAATTAGTATTTAGCCTGCAATACATAAATTACAAATATTGATATTATAATGTTAAACATTTCAGTAACGTTGTTACCGAAATCTATTAGTGCAAAGTTCGGAAAAATGAGAAATAGAATTGTTTGAAAGCGAAAGAATTGAAAGAATATAAATTATGCCTTGGTAGTTCTAATAAATTTATTTTATTTTCTACATTATATTATTCATAACTGTTAGAAAATGTGTATCCCAAAGAAAGGAAATTATTATATCCAAGAAATTAGTAATTTCAAATATTTTTTTTCATGATACATGACAAAATTTATCTATTCGGTCTTCGGACTTTTGGAGAAAGGATTTAATCTTTTTAACCAAGCACTTCTGTAAAAAAGAAATTTACTTATAAATTTTGGAATAACGACATAATAAACATGATGAATAGTAGATATAGTACATAGTTACATACGTTTTTTCTGGTAATAAAACATCTATGTTTTCAGCTTCTTTGATTTTATTCTCCTTGAGTTTGGCAATTAATTCTGATCTATACTGGACTTTCAAAGGTTGTGGTTTTGTTTCATTTAATTGTAACCACTTCTTACAGGCTTCCTTGTATGTTAAACCATACCATTCTATTTCTTCTCTCGTGTACTGGAAATATAATATTGTAATAATTACACGTGTATTCAATGTAATGTGAATTATGTCAGCTATCAATATTAAAACAAGAAAATATTCTTTTCAGTTTAATATCCAATGTCTAATCTAATCTAATTTTTTATTACGTATGTACAATATATAAATAAATTTCTTACAGCCGAAAGATATTGCTCGTACTTAGCGTATATTTCTGTACGCTTTTCTAGATCATTAGGATATAAAGTCTTATCTGCTAGTGCGATAAGTATCTGACGTTTCAGTCTTAAAGCAAGTAAAGATCTCAGGTCGCAGGCTGGTGTCTGTAAATAATAGTCTGTAAGTAACTCAAGAAGTTTTATATAATTGATCTGTCAAAGAGCTTGCAATATGTGCAGTTCCGCTTTCTTTATTTACTAGATTGAAGATTAATGCACCTTCAATAAATAATGATCGAATCCATAATTTTCATGAATTAATCTGAGTGCTCTGTCGGTAATAACAACTCTCATATGTGTATCAAGAACTTCGCTATAGACAACAGATTTCTTCAGCTGAGGAAACCAAAAATGTGGGACTTTTCTCTTAAATAAGCCTTTTTTCTTAAAGCCTTGAACAACAGCTTCTCCTCCCCATATACCATCATCAATCTCTTTAGGATACATTAAAGGTATTGGTACATTTTGTACTGGACGTCTGTAAGCAGATTGTTCCAAATAAAATTAATATAATTATTATAAGCAAGACCTGTTTGTGTGTATGAATATGTTTACAAATATTTTATAATACATTTACATGTTAAGGGGCCTATTCTGTAAATGTTAATGATATCCTTACGCATTTTACACAGCTCTTCTATAGTATATTATATATGCGCAAAGCACATACTAATGTCCTTAATGTTTACAAAGTAGGCCCCTTGGTTGTTACAAGAATCATATTATTTTATTAAAAGAGAAATTAAATTATATAATATCTTACACTTCCTCAGTTTCTTCATTTCTCACATAAGTGCCTTCCTGCTTAATATAATGAACCGCAGCTGGTTTTTGTAACTTCCATTCTCTCCAGAACTTTTTAAATTCTTGTGGCAATTCGGCACCAATCCCTTTACTCCATCGACTTATTTTTGGTATGTAATATAATCGCTACAATTTTGTTTGCATTTTATTGATAAAAATAATACATAAATATCAAATATAATTTTGATTTATTTAAATTTTGAACCATATTAAACATTTTGTTAATTAATATAATTTTTCATGTTACAAATAGAATAGATGTTACAAATAATGAAGTAATCTCCTAATTAAGAATTTAATTTGAAATGTTGATTTAAATATTTATACATAACAAATAAATATAATAAATAGGTAAATGAAATAATTTACAATAATCCCGTAATAACAATCGAATAATACTGCTAATTTAAAAGATATATGATATTATAGTTGCAGTATACTATAATGTGAGGTTAGGTTTAAAAGTTATCTCTTATCTTGGAATTGTACGACAAAACAACTTTTAATTACCTGTGCACTTTGCTTAATCGACATTTCTCTGCACGATTTTCAATCAGTCAAGTCAGAATAATAAATGATTTCAATAAAATCAACAGAGAGCCAACAGAACGTCGTGCTTACATCAGATTACAGTCACGTTATTTTCTCAATCAATGGAGGTGAGCGTTTAGTGATTCTTTAATACGATGGGATCTTGCTTTTGATTCTAATCCGGATCTAAGTGTAATCAAAATGTATACCTTAAAAATGCCAAAAAATTAAAGTTTGTATGTGAAAAATAAAAATACGTATGTTAGAAGTGTGAGAAATTAAAAAATAGAAGTGTAAAAAAAATTAAAATACGTATGTTAGAAGTATGGAAAATTAAAATTATCCTAGAAATGTGAAAAATTTAAATTTACACCTTAGATCTGTGAAAAATTAATATTCGTGTGTTAAAAAGTGTGAAAAATTAAAATATATACTCTTAACGTACTTTGCGCGCACCGCCGCCGATAGACGTCGAACGCGATTGGCTCGTGAGTCGAGCCCCCGGATCCGGCCAATCACGTTCCGCCGCTTCGAGCCGCCGATGCGGCGGCGGCGCGGCGCAGCGGCACACCAGTACCAGACGGCATACTAGGCGCAACCGTTGAACATTGAACGGTCGGATAGAAACGGCGTACCTTCAGAATCAACGCACGGCCGATTGTTCTTGTCGTCGAGTGGCCTTGCCGCTTGTTTCCGTCGACGTTCGGAATACCCTTTACCTACGGAAATCGTTCAATCATTCTCCCGATACATTATTTCGTACAGTTGCGAAGTGTTCGTGCTCCGTGCTCGTGCTGTGTGTTTTTCGGAACGCGCTCCTTCGTGCGATTGGCATTCCTGCTGCTTGTTCCGCGGGAATAAATCGGCTCCGCGGCGCTCAAGAATTTGCAAGTGTATCAAGTGTCGGAATGAATGTGCAGTCGCGCGAAATAAATCGCTCGTTCGAGGACGTCGAGGCGAAGATACGACAAATATGTGAGCGATTTGCAGTTCCGTTGTGCATTCGCGGACGATAATCGTTCGTCTCGCCACGTATCTGAACTCTCGAACAGTGTCGTGCTTTGAACGCTGTGCCGGAATTGTAGTGCGATCTATCTCCGATCCTCTTCGAAGGGGAGAAAGAGGGACACACAGCGAGTGACACACCGTGAAATCGTATTGAGTGATTCGAATAATAGCATGCCGTGATACAACGCCCGTTCGTTAATATTTCTTTATTTTCGTATATTTCGTGCCGCGTACGTAAAGTTAACGATCCGCGACTTCTCGTTGTGCAAGGTATTTAATGCAGTTGTACATTCGCGAGATTTATCGTGCTCGATTCCGTACGGTGCGCGCGATATTTAATTTTGATTGTATTTTTGATTAATTAACTGCGTGTCTTTACTAGCCGCCCACTTATTGATTCGCGTATATGGTGCAGTCGCGCGCCAAGTTACCGACATCTTCGAAAACGCGGTGACGAACGCGGAATAGAGACAATCGGCGTCGACTCTTTCAAATTTGCATGAAAAATCCATGTTAGAAAATGTAATTTATTATCCGCGAGTGTTTCTCGCGAGTGTCCTGTGCGGTGAGAGGAGGAGGAGGAGGAGGAGAGACCCAGAGATCTGACCAGGTCCGAGTGAGACATCGGGCACCGGCGGAGCAACCTTGGGGTAAGCATATATCATCTAAGCTATATAAAACTAATAATTCGTTTCTATTTATTCGAATTATTTTATCTTGATAAGTTAAAAGTAATTAAAGAAAGAGAAATTATCTAAAATTTTATTCTCGTAAAGATCTTTTTCTGTAAAGATAATTGTATTACTAAATATTTTATTGAAAAACAAATATTAAAATACGTGTAAGAATTATCTTTTGAAGTGTTGATCATTTTGAGCGCCAATTTAATTTGAATCTTATGTTTGTGTGTTATAGGATCATCGTAGCTACGTGGCTGAGTAACTCCGCCTGTTGCGCATCGGGTTGGTGAGTCAGACTTTTTTTTTTTTTACTGAGGTAACGAATCTACGATCACACAATTAATTGAATATAGAGCAAATCTCGATACATGTCAAATTATGACAATAAATTATCGTATAAATTTATTACATCTCGTGTAGATCCGTTGCCTTAAAATGGATGGGCTAAAAACTGATTATGGGGCAAATATTTAATCTTGGTGTCACCTGTTTATTGATATATTTGCGATTGTGCTTGAGGAAATACTCGCACACGTCGCGCGTACCGAGCTCTAAAAGAACTAATATTATCGTTTATTTATTATTGAATTATGTTAACGAACTCGTTCTATGTAAATAATTTTTAAATAAAATTTTAAATGTTAAATAAAAAATATATATATTAAAATGTTTTATTGAATCCGAATTTTATTTCGCGAATTTGAATGAGTAAAGTACATAAGTAATAAATTAAATTTTTGACATTTTTTGACAGTTTTGTTACGTAAATTAATTCTACTTAAAATTAAAGTAATGATTTTGAAAATAAATTTTTTATTTACGCTTCTTTAAATTATTTTAATATTTTTTTTGAACAAAAAAGATAAGAGTAAGCAAAATACTGTTTAGGTGTTACAAAAAAAAATATCTGTAGATTAGGAAAAATTATTAATTAGGTAGGATATGTGTTATTTATACCCATCTCTTCCTTATTCCATATATTTATCCAAGTTTAAATATTATATAAATCGATGCAAAAAACAATGTATAGATATATAATGAATAAAAAGGGTAATATAAATTTCGATTTTATTATGCAATTTATTTTATAGAAAGTTCGATAATGGTTTTAATTAATTACTAAAATTTATTCTAACAAAGCATCGATTTTACCCTAATTTTTTGTAGCCTATCCATCTATTTTTAATTGAAAAATTGGCTTTATGCTGGATAAAGTCAAGTTATATGACGTGAGATTCAAAATATTCTGTCGAGATACTGAAAATTTAAATTATTTCAGAACTGATGATATAGTACAATTATTCAGTTTTGCAATAATAAATAACTACGTTATATCAAAATATCGTAAAATAAAAATTTGCATATACAATATCATTTAATTATTTAATTATAACAATGCGGTTATTGACTAATTATAATATCAATCGTGCGGGAAGTTTCTTTTTTTCGGATCTCACGTCATTTATTCTGTACCTATGGCCTAGTTTACACCGATCTCTTGATACGCGTATCAAATAGTATATTTGAACTAATCAGCCAATAATCAGACTTATTTACTAGTTATTTACTATTTAATACGCGTATCAAGTGATCGGTGTAAACTAGGCCTATATCTTATTTGATATATTTTCGAGATGCGACATTTTAGAACACTCTGAACCTATTAACTTCCGCAAATTTGGAGATATCTATCTATTTTTAATTTTATTATATTTTTCAGTCTTTTCATATATAATTCTTTCAAATTCGGTTGATTAGACTTAGCTTTATATGCGATCGAAGTTATGGATCTTTGATCGCGTATAAAGCTGGGTCTAATCAACCAAATCTTACAAAATTATATATGAAATAGAGGTAGAAAAGACTGAGAAATATAATAAAATTAGAAATAGATTGATATCTTCAAATTTGCGGAAGTCAGAGTAAACACGGACATCAAATCTGCACATACACATATATACGTACGGACATGCGATTTAATGCAACACTTCGACATTTTAGAACACTCTGAACATATTAACTTCCGCAAATTTGGAGATATCTATCTATTTTTAATTTTATTATATTTTTCAGTCTTTTCTACCCCTATTTCATATATA